GTTTCCAGGCAACAAGCAGTTGAGTCAGTCCAATTCCAGGTGCACAGTAAAGCTCAAGGGGTGACCACAGAGAGACTCTTGTACAAAGTACATACGGCCATGATGCAGGGTTCTAGAGCTACAAGGCCTAGAAGCTAGCATGATCTCTTGCAACATTGAATTAAAAATATACTATCATGATTATGTTTATATTTAACAAAAGAAAAATATGCTCCCATTGCCTCTGATCAAGGAATAGCCCTTGAACTTTGAAAGAGTTTTCCCAAGGCATGAAGAGAGCTCACGAGAAAGAAATCTAGAGGGATGTTGTTCTATGCCATTTAGTTTTTCTTATTATTTTTGGTATTCTATGATACATCTACCATATGTTCACCTTCAAAGATCCAAAAACTAGTTCACATTTTTCCATAGTAGTTAAAATTACTATCAAGTTGATAAATTAATAGGATTTGAGTTTTGGAAACTGATGCAATTTTATCAATTTCATGCTTGACTTAGGAAAAAATAAAGTTAATAGGAAAGTCACATGTCTGAAAGAGAGCTCATAGTGGAAGAATACATGGAAAGCTGAGAAGATTCAAATGGGCAATTATCTGTCAGGTTTGCAGCAAATGTGAAAAAATATAGAATTTTTATTTAAAAAAATTCTACCATAAGTATGGGAGAATTGAATGTAGGGGGAAAGAGGTGGAAATAAAGTATCTTGGGAGTTTCTCTCTGCTTTGTGATATCATCTGCTTCTAGGACCTTAGAATTTGCCGTGAAATCTAAACTATGAGGTCACTTGTAGGTATGGTCTTCTCGTTACCTGTTTTAGGAGTGCTGGAGTAGATTTAGGTTAGCTATGGCTCACATGAATGAAGAAGAGTTTCCTTTGTGAGGTAGGAGATGCAGATGGTGGGCAGGTCTTTATAAGGTTCTTTCCAGCAAGGTAATAGTGCATGATTTCTTTTTATAAACTTTTTGATATTTACTTGTTTATTTTGGTTGAAAGTGATTAAAATAATGATCATTCAACAAAGTCTATATTTTCCACTATACTACTAAGAAGTTATTATCTCTCTCTCTCTCTCTCTCTCTCTCTCTCTCTCTCTCTCTCTCTGTCACACACACACACACACACACACTCACACACGCATGCATGTACGCACACATGCACAATAGCTTCTTAAGTTACAGTATCAAATTATCTACCCAACTTCCTGCAAATTCCTTTTAATCAGGAATGGCAGATACTGTCAATATAGTTAAAAGCTACCACAGTAGTGTTTATGCCTCATAATTGAAGCCAAAAATTTTATAAGAGCTAAGGTAATACTTTAAGTTTTTAAGTCTAATTTCTTGTTTTTTTTAATATCTAAAATTTCTATTTTCTGTTCTACTTGTCCTGGTTACTCACGTTGTTATAAGATATAAAATTAACAAGAGTGCTACAGTGCTTTTGGAACAAATGGTTTACCCGTGTTGAAAATGAGTCCTTTAGATAAAATCTCTCCATAAAGAATATGAAAGTGAAGAATGATCACAGTTATTAAAACCTTTTCACTGTCATAGCATCAGCCTGCTTATTTGAATATGTATTTAGTCTGTCCACCAAATATGCAGACAGTGAACAAAGAGTGGGAATTGCCAAGGGCAGAAGGTGGGTTTATAAAATCAAGTGCAGTGTCTTCAGGGCAGTGTGAGACTTGGGGTATTCCCTTAGGTCGGTGGTGACCTCTAGAAATGTAGTTATGTGGCAGTGAATGTTGAAAGAATTTGGTCAGAATGTGAATGCTAGGGCAGAATCAATTGCTTTTCATCCCTCAACCCAACATGATTTGAATATTCATAGACATTTTATGTTTATTTGTGATTGGACTATCAGAGGAGATTAAAAACCCACAGGTTTCCAGATATGATTAGCAGACTCTACAGTTGCAGGTAGGATAGAACAAATAGATTAATTTCCTCTTGAGCAAGTGTGCATGCTCCAGTAACAACTTTGCTTTAATTGCCAATACTCTATAGAGCTCTGGAAGGCAGATGTAGTAAAAGTATCTTGTTTTTTTGCTGACTCTGGTGTCTCCAAAATGTCAGCTGCTGTCTGTGGAGTAAACCTTGTATCTCAAGTGATGGTAACCCATTCTGCTCGAACCAAAGCAAAATAAACAAGCCTTATGTTGTGTCTGAAGTTCTGTATCGGGGGATCATGATGAAGTGAACTGATATATAGGTAAATAGGAGCAAAGTAAAACCTTTATTTAATGTTTTTTTTCATGTACATGGGAACCTTCATGAAGTTCCAAAGAAATGTCCATGACCAAGATTATAGTATGTTTTCTAAGCGAAAAATAATTATGAGGAAGCAAATGAGAGCAGCGAAACTTCTCGAGGAAGCAAAGCATGGGGACATGACCAGGAGACGTATAGTGTGGCGGACCTCTCGACCGGTGACGAAGAATGACCACCACATCAGGATTCTACTCAGAACACGCTTTTACTGGAGTGCCCTTGATTGATGGGGAGCAGGGAACGAGAGGGCTGAAAAACGAGGAACAGGGAGTGAAGGGGCAGGGAGCTAAGGGGAGAGGCAGCAGGAAGCAAAGGGGGAGAGGCAGCAGGAAGCGAAGGGAGGGGGGGGGACTTAGGCAGCTGCTTAAATAGGGAATTGGCACACGGGTCGCCCTGTGATTGGCTGCCACCAACAGCTGACACCAGGCCGCATCGGGATAGGCTCAAGGATCCTCATCCACCGCGCATGCGGGAAGCAGGGATGCGCAGCTCTCAAAGCCATAGCCAAATATGGAGTTGTTTATAACCAACAAGACAGGATGTCGGCGCCATCTTGTAATGGCGATCCTGTCCGGCTCACTACAGTATAGAAACCAGTTGATAGTGAGGACTGTGCAGTAAGTTTTTCGGTACTGACTTACCAGTCATTCCTAGTCCAGTTATGAAATGTGTTCTTAGAACAGGGAGTTCAGCATCTACATAATGGATATTTGGCCGTGAGTTATACCAGAGAGTTTTCTGTCATATGCTTTTGCTCAATAATCTTTAGTTCATTGTGGTTTAGGGTAGTGCTTTCTGAACCTTTTACAGGTAGAAGGCTGAATGCTTTATGTACATTATTTTAACACAATAAACCTATGAATTGTTATTTTGTTATACATTTTATTTTTATTTTAAAATTATGTTCATGTAAGTCTTTTTGGTCTCTATATAAACATGAGTGTGGGTGCCTATGCAGGCTAGAAGAAGGGTGTTGTATCTTTTGGAGTTGGAGCTATAGGGTACATGCTTTTTAACTACTGAACATCTTATTAACCCCAGATGCCCAGTTATTGCTGTATTTTGAAGTTAAGAAAGTAAGCATAAAGAATACTGAAGTTTAGTTGTTTGGGTAAGTTAACACTGAGACTAAGTCCGGTGGTCCTATCAGAAACGCTTGTTTAGTTTAGTACAGTGGTTCAGATATTTACATCATAGAATTCTTTGAATGATTTTTTTTTTTGGTTGTTGAAAAGATCAAGTGGCTTGTTTTTGGTTAGTCACTGAATAAGTAAGTAGGTTTTAGGATTCAAATTTAAATGTATCAGCTTCCAAAATTTTGGTAATCCGAGTGATTTGTTTGATTCAACAGTATAAATATGTATTTTGTACTTTTACTCAGCACACACAAATACCTCAGCGCAATACAGATGTGTACCTAACTATGTCATTATAAGACATAAATTTTGGTTTTCATTGTTAGCTTTCACTTCACAGCTTCCTTTCTGCTATAAGTCATAGGCTTTCTAATTGTCCCTGGGGTTTGCTTTTGAACTGGTAATATTCTCTGATTTCCCTTTATCTAATTAGAGAACACAAGGCTAACCCCTTTTTGGAAGTGTCCTGTTCCGCATTACATTTGGGAGAAGATTCCCCAAAGAGGCCTCGGAGAACGACAATCCTTGCCTACTTTCCTCCTCCCTGTTTATAGGCATTTGATCATTTCTATCTTGTATAATCTCATTTTGGCATAGTTACTGATGCTTGCATTATAACTATTCAAAAATAAAGTCACTATAAAAATCTGAAAAACAGAGTTTGGGAGCTTCAGGACTCAGGTCAATAGAGAATCCTGGGTGGAAAAAGCATGAAGCTTTTTCCTGCCTCTCCCAATCGGATCTTACGTATCTCTTCATCCATCTTTTGTAACGTCTGTTATGACAGATCCTTAAACCTGTTTTCTTGAGTTCTGAGTCACTTTAAGAGGGAAGCACAGGAGAGGGCTGTAAAGCCTTCTGTGTAGCTGGCTGATCAAAATTGCCTGTTGTGACTGTCATCTGAAGTAGAGGATCCCTACTCGTAACTGAGATGCCAGTTTGTGGGCTCTACCTATTGTTAACTCATGTCAAATTACATTACATGAGAAGACACTCAGTTGGTGGCCCCTTCAGAATCCATAACTTTCTTCCTAGGGGTCACTGTGCAAGAGTCGTGGAAAAACCAGAAAGTTTGTATTACCAACACGGGATAACTAATAAAAAGCATCATAGAATAGCATCCTTATCGTTCGTTTTCACACTTTGGTGCCCCCTACTCTAGATCATTCCATCACAATTTATTGCACCTTAGTATAATTCAGTTATTATTTTTATTATTATTATTGAAATGGCCATTACGACTATTCAATTGAATTTGTGGCAGGTATGTCCCTGACAGGAAAGATCTTAAATTTGAAAAAGCGCTATAAATAGACTGGCACTTTCTTGGGTCATCATGTTTGCTATTAGCTCTGTCATATCTGCAATGACTGGGATGAAGAAGTGATATTTAGGCTGAGCTTTGAAGTATTCTTTCTAGTTAGATTTGTCTAAAGACGTTCTCAACGTGGAAAGTCTGGTTAAACCATCTGTGACGGGGACACTTCACTCTCCTGTTTTCTGTCAACAAACTACCAAGGATCTCTTTTGAGGTTAAAGCAGCAGCATAGCAATCTCTTTTTTTTTTCTTTCAGTTTTTATTTTTTATTTACAATTTAATAAATATTCCTCGATGACTGCTCATGGGTAGGCACCTTGGTAGTATTCAGCCAGATCACAGTGATGGTGTTTTCCTAACCGTGTGTAGTTTTCAGTAGAAGTCACTATCAAACCAGCAAGACTGCATTTATGCACCCATCATTCTCAGGATTGTTGGTAACTTGGGCATACTTTCCCCAAATAACCTTGCCTCCTTGTGTCACGAGGCCCAGCTCGCTCACGTTCACTTCAATGACTGTCCCTTTGGTGATTACACCCAGAGTTGTATATAATGGGGATGATGGATTCTTTTTCACACCAAGTATCGGCAAGCAAAAGGTAGCTTTCAGTTCAGGATGTGTGACGTGAGCTTTTTTGAAACGCAGACCCATCGGCCTGATAAACCTTTCATATTTAGGTGGTTTTCTTGTAAAACCATCACCAACAAAGCAGACTTTAGTAACCATCCTCTTCCATGCCTTCTTTTTTGTTTTTCCTGTTCGAATAACTTTCAATACTTCTGTTTCTCCTTGGGCACGAACTTTGGGTAGAGGGACTTCCCATTTTCCCGCCTTCTCCTTTCGTTTCTGCTTAATCATGTTGGAAAGCACTTTTGCTCTAGATTGCCCCTCTCTGTCCAGCAGGTAGGCAGGTACTGCTCCTTGTGGAGTCTTTTCATCATTCTTTTGCTTGGTGTTTCTCTTTTCGTGCATCTTAATAGTTTTTTTCATTTGTATTTTCTCAGCATGGCGCTGCTTATGGTAGAGCTTAGCCTTCAGGCCAATCATTTTCTTTGCCTTCTTTGAACGTTCATGGGCCTCCCGACTTTCTTTCTTTCTCTTTTTCTCATGATAATCCAAACGATATCCATAGCGTTTACGGTGTAATTCAGTATGCTCGTTTTGTGGCATGATGACAGCTGCGGAACAGCCGTCCGCGACCTCCCGACTGCGAAAAACCTCTTCCGGCTCTCACTGACCCACGAGCACTCGCCGCGCAAGGCGGAACGGGAAAAGCTAGCAATCTCTTGAGTACTACTAGTGTGTGGTTTATTGTAAATACAGATCCTCCACCCTTATTTTGTGGTGATAACGTCCACAAATATCTGATAACCCAGAGTCTACTGATTACTTTTTAATTGTCCAACTAACATATCTAGATTATTATATCTGAAAGTATGAGGACCTAAACCAGTGATAAGTGTGTGTGTGTGTGTGTGTGTGTGTGTGTGTGTGTGTGGCAACTGTATGGGTTTCCCCTAAATTTCTACAAATTGAAATGATTTCTGCTAAAGAAGTTTCTCCTCTTCTTTTATTTTTTAATCTCCGTCTTTGATGAAGACTTTGCTTATTGGTATTATCCACAAACACCTCTGCATTATCTAGATCAAGACTCCTGGTAAGTATTTCTTTGGTATTATTGTGCTAGTGATGCACAATCTCCAATTTTTATAGATTTTTAACTAAAATGATGACATCACTTTTCTTTTTTTTCTTTTTTTATTAATTTATTTATTTATTAAAGATTTCTGGATGACATCACTTTTCCCTTCACTTTTTTACTTTCAGTTTCTACCAAATACTCTCCCACAACTGCTTCCGTGTGTCTCCTCATTCTCAAATTGATAGCCTCTTTTTCTTTGATCATTATGCTATACTCACAAGTACAACTTCTTGGCTGCATTTTTGTTGTGTGTCTATGTTTTCACGACTGACTTCAAGAGACTCCCTCAATCTAAGTGAGTGCATTGAGTTTTATGATTTCCAAAGTTAAAAATAATTTCTTTCCTACCTGAAAAAAAATTTAATTCTGTGAAAGGTTGTTTTCAAAATTTAGTCGATCATTACAGAGCGGTCATTTAAGACCAACAAATAAGAATTTATCTTTATTCAAGTTGTTTTTGCTAAAGCATTGCTAGATACAATATTTTATATACACAATAAAAGAGAAAGTGTTACATTCAGTTCTGTGTGGGATCAGGGATGATTTTTGAAGATGAATGTTGACTGTTACAGATTTTGTATCATATAGAAGAGAAAAAATGTATTGCTTTAAACACAATAGTAGACCTTCTTCCTTTTGAAATTGAGTTGTTCTCCTCATAAAACATTGATGACTTGCTAAAGCTCTTATTCTTACTACAATGAAGTCCATATTTGTCTATTTTTTTTCAGTTCTGGATGATTGAACGTGCTGCAAAAATATTCCTGAAATGTGACTTCAACATAAAGCAATCATCACACTGTCATGGTGGACTTCATCTCTATCTTTCTTACCTTTTGCACCAAATACTGTACAAACCTAATTGTGTAAGAAGAAATCAGTGTTTGCACAGTAATTAGTCTCAATGATGGGAGGGTTGAGATTTAAGCACCTCTTTAGGGAGAGTTTTGCTGAGTCTGAGGGTACATTCCAGGTAGTGGTAATAATCTTCTTTTTGAGTCCATGTTCCTTGGCGGCTGCACCACTTATGCCAAATGAGACTTTCCTTTGGGCTTGGAATGTTCCAGCTGAAGCTTGTATCGGAAGTGTTAATCACTCATTGGATATGAGTTTCTTCTCTTTAACTGGAAGTCCCCGGAAAACTGCCACAGGGCAGGTTATCACAATATTCTATATTGACCGACTTGGAAAGTATCCGCATATAGACGAGAAACAAAGGGAAGTGTTTGGAGGAGTACCTCAGGCGGGGAATTTTCAGGAGCATTTGGACAAAGCTAAGACTGACATCGAGCATTACATTCCAGTAGACCAACTGGACCTAGCTGTCATTGACTGGGAAGAATGGAGGCCCACCTGGGAACGAAACTGGACACCAAAGGACATTTATAAGAATAAGTCTATTCAGTTGATACAGACCCAAAATCCAGGTATGAACATTGCACAAGCCAACATAAAAGCCAAAGAACAATTTGAATTGGCAGGAAGAAAGTATATGGAAGAGACATTAAAATTGGGGAAAAAACTTCGACCCCAATACTTCTGGGGTTTTTTTCTTTTTCCTGATTGCTATAATTATCAAAATTACCTAGATCCAGGATACAAAGGAAGATGTCCTAATATAGAAATAGAGAGAAATAATAATCTTGGCTGGATATGGAAAGAAAGCACAGCTCTTTACCCAGCAACCTATCTGAAGAGAGAATTGAAATCATCGCCAAATGCAAAACTCTACAACCGCTACCGTGTAGTGGAAGGCATCAGGATGTCTAAAGTGCGTGAGGAAAATAATCCACTTCCTGTTTTTCTGTACACACGCGTTGTTTTCTCTGATCGGATATGGGAGTTCCTTTCTCTTGTGAGTAAATCAAAGAATTATAGCTATGTGCTATTGTGCAGAAATAGTGTCAACAGGAATGCAATATTATTCAAAAGTGTAATTCAGCTCTATGTATCATTTAGGAATACAGACATCAGTAGTTCTATGTTCTCTGAAGAAGGCAAAATTAGCACATTTTTAGTGTTTAATATAGTCATATGGTCTGTTAGCAGCCATGAAAGTACTGCAAAATGTAGAAAATACTTTAACCATTCTCCTCCTCTTTCTCCTCCTCTTCTTGGAATCTGGGTCTTTTTCTAGCAGAAAGCATTAAATATATATAGTAAAGAAATGCCAGAGTAAAAGATTTAAAGAGTGTATTAGTTTTTAAAGCAGTATTGCTAGGTCAGCATGCTCTGCTTGGTGAATATGTCCTGTGTAAATGCCTCCACTGGTTACTCCCTGCTAACTCTTTGTATCACCTTTATCAGAATGACCTTGTGAACACTATTGGTGAAGCTGTTGCTCTGGGGACCAGTGGAGTTGTAATATGGGATTCTATATCTATAGCACAACGTGCACAGGTAAGGTATTGGTATATGAAATAGAAAATAATTCTATACTTAATGATTTTTGAGGACTTTGTCTTAAGAAATTTAGCATTATGCTTGGCCATAAGTAAATGCTTGCTATTTGTCAAATTAAGATATACTACATTTTTTTTATTATGAGGTAGAAAATGTTGTACCTGTCTTGAGGAATCAGATGTTCAAAGAGATTAACTGGCGTTCTCTAGGCTCCATGTTGTAAGTAGCAAAACCAGGACTACAGTTTCAGTTTTCTGACATGATGCTTTAATGTCAGACAACAGGTCTCCAGAATTTAATTCCCCATATCAAGAATTGTCATCATCTTTGCAATTTTCTTGAATAAAAGAAAGAGTTTCTGTGCATATATGCTTGTGTGTATATGCGTATGTGTCAATAAGTGTGAATTTAACATTGCTAAGCAGAGGTTGATTGTGCGTGTGTGTGGACATAGAAGCCGTGTTGATTGCTGTCCACCTTATCTTTTAAGAGAGAGTCGGTCGCTTAACCCAGAGTTTAGCAATTTGGCTCTATTGGCAGGCCAAAAAGCCCAAAATACTTACTTGTCTCTGCCTTTCTAGTGATGAGCATATAATCACATGATATTCTACTTGGCTTTTGGAAGTTGGTTATGAAAATAAATCCCAGGTACTTATACTTTCACATGAAGGGTCTTCTTAGCCTCTTTAGCAGCCAGTTCATACCCTTTTTCTAGTTGTTAAAATTGACACACAAAAAGTATCAAGTAAGCCATCTCCTTCCACTCCGCTTTATCTGATCCTGTGGTGTGATAAAACCAGTTCTACCAGTCCTACCTTATGAGACGTGTATTTTCTTTTTACTATTTGGGATTCTTGTGAGGTAGTTATTAAACATGGTCATTATTAAAAATCAAAAGATAAATAAACTTCACTAAGTACAAAAATAACTAATGCTTACAATACACCAATTATTTTGTTTCATGTCCATCCCAGTACCTGAGATTGTGTATATCTGTTGTATCTGCATTGGTGGAACACTCTAGAATGGATGCTTTTCACATCATACTTCCATACTATGAAATAGTAGCTTTCTCAGTTCCCAACTCTGCATTCAGTGTTATTGATTGGGAACTTGAAGTTGGCCAGTATGGGTTTAATTATATAGCACCTTTAGGTTGCCAGTTTCAATCTTTCCATAGAGAAGATGAAAGATGACTTTCAAATAATCTTCATTCCCACAATCTGCCTTTTGTCTCATCCTTATCTCTGAAAACAGCTCCAATACTCCTTGAACTTGGTATAACTTTTAAATGTATCATTAGCACTGAGAATATAATATTTAAGACTATTAGCATAGACCATAAACTCTTAGAATATAATAGTGTTTAGGAAAAAGTACACAAAAATTAAAATATTGGTGCTTTATAAGCAGCTAACACAGAGATTTGAGTCTACAAAGAAAGTATCTTGGATAGTTACTTTCTAACTGTGTAAAACCAGAATGATAAGAAGTCAGTCACATGTAAAATGCAAATATACAGCATTCTACACAAATGGAATATTAGAAGACCTTCATATGAACCTGCTATGCTAGTTTTCTTAGTTTTTTTTTTTTTTTTTTTTTATTGTGAGAAAACCACCAGAACTTACCGGCTAAAGGATTTGCTTGGTTTATACATCCTGACCAAAGTCCACTGTTGAGGGACTACAGGGAAGAAACTCAAGGTAGGAACTTGGAAATTGTAACTGAAGCAGAACCATGGTGGAATGTTTCTTGGTAGCTGGCTCTCCAGGCTCGATTTCAGCTACTTCCCTTTTTGGCTTCTAACCTTATCCACAGTCTCCTCCATTGTAAGCTCACACAGTCACAGGCTCTGGGGACAGAAGGGCAGATATCTTTTCCAGGTCATTACTGAACCAAAAATAAAGTCTCAATACAAAGAAAATAGCCAATAGATCCAAGTCAGCTGCAAAGAGCCTTTGCTTTTCCTGTCAATGTGCTACCACAGTTGCCTCATTCAGTAGAACTATTGATCACTACAGATCATAATCAACAATGTTTTTTTTTAATGACCTCTGACCAAGTTTAAGAACAGTGATGTTAAGATGGACCACTCTGCCCTTCATCTCTCTTACGTACACAATTTGTTAAAGAACTGTCATGCACACCTTTGACTGTGTAACATTTAGCTACAAGGTACGGAGTTGAACATATTTTATCATTTTGAGACATCAGTTTTGAATCTGTTTAATTATGTTTAACTGATTGGTAAAATTATTTATGCTCTATTGAGGGTTAACTGAAGAAATGTGAAATCTCATATACATAAATCTTATCAGTTGTCTTCACAATAACCCTATGAGGCAGCCAGCAAAATCATTCCTACTCTATCAGTGATAAAACTGAAGAATGACCAAGTTAGCCAATTTTCCTTATGTGATCCAGAGAGCAACCTAAGATCTGCAAAACTTGAGGCATGCTAGGTTGGCAGACATGGTTATTAATGAAGGTGATACTACTGTCGGGCAAGCAAACCTCAAAGTCCGAGTCTAACAGTTGTAAAATTCCATACTCTTGATTAATTCATGAATTATTGGGAAAGATGAAGTCTGGGGTAGGTTAAGCCTCAACTAACCAATTCTTCTGCAGCACTAAATGACCTACAGAACTAGCAAATGTTAAAATATAGTTGGAATAACCTTCCTTGTCTGAGTGAAAATGGGCATTTGTGTCACTTGTTCAGTCAGATGCTTCATTCGATTTTAAGAGTTACTATAAGATATCTGTTCACACAGGAACGTGAGCCTTTCTGCACTCACTGACGGCCTTATTATTTTACAGACAGGTTGTCCAGCCCTACACAAATACGCGAACTCTATCCTGTATCCATACATAATCAACGTCACCCTAGCAGCCAAAATGTGCAGTCAAACACTTTGCAACCATTGAGGCATCTGTACAAGGAAAGACAAGAATTCAAATCACTATATTCAGTTGAATCCGAAGAACTTAGAAATTATTTCGAAAAATGAGAAGTTTGAAGTAGTTGGCAACCCTAGAGTTGGCGACCTGAAGTACTTTTCTGAGCATTTTAAATGCACCTGTTATACCAACATGAACTGTAAGGAGAGACCTGATATTGAAAGGGTGGAAAATGTTAATGTGTGCACTCGCAACAATATTTGTATAAAGACCCACGTAGATCCTGACCAAGCGTTCTATCTCCTACCTGGAAAAAACCTTCTCATTTTCATCACTGTCACTCACATACTCTGTCATCTGCTCTAGGGGCCTCCGAATTTCCTAGGGCAGGTATCAGTGGGTGTCCCTTAGTTATATCTGCTCCCAGCATTTGAAATATTTGTTATAGTCTTGTGCTAACTCAGAAATGAAAAATGGGATTCTATTGTAATAGCTGAGCTTTTATTTTGATATTTAAATGAAAAATGTCTATTCTTCTAATAAAGACTGGTAACAACCAAGGAAGCCATACTTGAATAATGGTTTTTATCTCAGGAGGAGAATTGAATAAAATCAAATTACTATAAATGAGTGCCTTTATTTGTAGTTTGTCACAGTTTCAAAAATGATCAAGTGAGTATTAAGATAAAAATTCTTTATGTAAAACGGTATGTTTGGAGTGTGCTAGTCAATCCAATTACAGAGGCAGGAATTTTATAACTTTGAAAATAAAATTTGTATATCTTTATTTTAAAGTAAAACAAACTTAACAAATGACATTCTTCCTCATTTTTGTACTTATGTCTTCAGAAACCACTTTTATACAGTAATCTAGCTATATTTTCATTCCTAATTGTCGTTTAATTTGTGTTCCCCAAATGACCAATTTCCTCCAATCATTCACATGATCATTTATTTATTCATAGCACATTTATTGACTATTATTTCCCTCAAGTTTGGTATTCATTATTGCCAAATGTTTCTTGTTTGTTTGAAGGTGAAAGAAACAGAGAGAAAATGGATCTGGGGGAGAGGGGAGGAGATTTCTGGGAGGAGTGGAGGGAGAGGAAACTGGTCAGGTTGTATTGTATGAAAAAAAGATCTATTTTCAATAAAAAAAGAAAATGACAACATAGTGTGTTTTAAATGCTATGGTATGTTTAGAGTGCTCTGGCTTGCAGATAAAATTTTGAGGACATCAGAGATTTCTGAGAGAGATGAGGTAAAAGTTTTTATTTATTTATTTTAATTGTTATTGTTTAATTAAATTAAAATACAATTGCATAGTTTTCTTCCTTCATTTTTCTTCCTCCAAGCCTATCCATGCTCTTTTTGCCTCCTCTTCAGTTGAAGGCCTCTTTTTATTTAACTGTTATTGTTACATATATATGTAAACAGATAAATATATAAATACCAGCTGATTTATCTTTTATTGTTATTTATTTACATACATACATACACACACACACACACACACACACACACACACACACACACACACACTCCTGAGAAGCTGGTATTGGATAATCAATTAGGAGGCTCATCTCCAGGGAAGACAATTCTCCCACTCCCAGCATTCCTTAGCTGCCTGTAGTCATTTGTCTAGGGTTTCGGTTTTCCCTTATATGTGATTTATGTTTTTTCTCTTTCTGCTTTCGGTATGCTTTCTTTGTCCTTCATACTTAGTGATTTAATTGCAATATGCCAGGAGGAGTTTCTTTTCTCATTTTGTTCATTTGGTGCTCTATGAGCTTCTTTTGTGTGCATGGCTTTGTTTTACTTTGGTGAAGTTTTCTTCTTCTATGATTTTTGTTAAAGATATGGTATATGCCATTAATGTGGTATTGAAATAACCAGGCTAGCTAAGGATAAAACAATTATACTTTATTTATTATAAGGGGAAAACTCATGAAACAGGCAAAGAAAAATCCAAGGACAACAATGTCCCACAGGAAAAGGCTCAGAGATCGAGTACCTGGAGGTGCACATGGTTTTACCCTGGGTCCCAGTAAAGCCATGTCTTAACTGAGACCCACATCTCTTTTTGTTTTTTGCCATTATCTTCTTTTTTGTAATTGTTTTATATTGAGCTCTACATTTTTCTCTGATTTTTTCCCTGCCTCTCCCCTTCCCCCTTGATCCCTCCTCTAAAGTCCCCATCCTCCCAATTTACTCAGGAGAGCTTGTCTTTTTCTACTTCCCATGTAGACTAGATCCATGCATGTCTCTCTTAGGGTCCTCATTGTTGTCTAAGTTCTCTGGGATTGTGGTTTGTAGGCTGGTTTTCTTTGTTTATGTTTAAAAACCACCTATGAGTGAGTACATGTGATAATTGTCTTTCTGTGTCTGCGTTACCTCACTCAAAATAATGATTTTTAGCTCCATCCATTTTCCTGCAAAATTCAAGATATCTTTTTTTTTTCCCTGCTGTGTAGCACTCCATTGTAAATGTACTACATTTTCCTTATCCATTCTTCGGTCAAGGAGCATTTAGGTTGTTTCCAGGTTCTGGCTATGACAAACAATGTTGCTATGAACATAGCTGAGCACATGTCCTTGTGGCATGATTGAGCATCCTTTGGATATATCCCTAAAAGTGGTATTATTGCATCTCTAGGAAGGTTGTTTCCTAATTTTCTGAGAAATTGCCACATTGAAATCCAAGGGGGCTGTACTGTCTTGCACTCCCACCAGCAATGCGTCCCCCTTTCCCCACAGCCTTTCCAGCATAAGTGTCAAAAATCAGGTGTTTGAAGCTGTGTGGATTAATTCTGGGTAAGACCCACCTCTTAAAGATGATGGGCTAACAAGGTTCCCCAACAACGTGAGATTCTTCTCTCACATCTATGCCTATAATACGTCATGCCCTTTTTAAATAGCCTTTCTTTTTTTTATTGTTCTTATTGAGTTATGCCTTTTCTCTGCTCCTTTCCTTCCTCCCCTCTCCCCGTCTACCCTCTCACATGACCCCACACTTTCAATTTACTCAGGAGATCTAAATTACATAAATAAATAAATAAATGAGGTTTTTGTCCCTTGACAGTGTTCCCCACTTCCTATATGATCTTTTCCTGTGTTTTAAAAACCTTTTCATATTATTTCTTGTGTGGTCTAATCCTTTATTTGAACCCTGGATACTCTCTCTTCTACATGGTTCATTCCAGTTGTAAGGTCTGTTTCCTTGAATGCTTTATTTGGGTTATAAAAAAAGGTAAGAGTGTGATATTATTTACTGGGATCTGTAATCTGTCTCTGGTGGATGTATTCTTTCTCCATATAGCATAGAGATGTTAATTTTTTTTCTGTAGAAATGTTTGCTTTCAATACTGGGGGTCTCCTTGAGCTTACAATTCAGTTGAAAACGGTGGTATGTTTTTCAAAGATTCTACCTTTAGTCCACAGAAGCTGTCAGTTTCTTCATTTCTCAGACCCGACTCAATTTTCTGCATCACCTGATATTCATATATGATCGAGATCTTTCTGTTTTAAACCTCCTCATCCTTTCTACCTTCTACTCTGCTAAGTCAGTCATAAATCCCAGGGCTTCCATGAAGCCTCTTCAGCCCTCTCCAGATTTCACCTGGTTTGTCTACCTGCCCTAGTATGTCTGCTGATACGTCTTCTCCCAAAAATCTACTTTGAAGTTTTCTTCTCTCCATTCATTCTCTTTTACCTATAACTCCAACCCCAACATTGTCAAGATCTGTAGATTATTTTTCAAATTTTTTATTCATTTTACCTACCAACCACAGTATCCCGTCCCTTCCTCCTGCTCCCCCCACCTTCTTCCCCACTCCTCATCTACTCCTTAGAAAGGATAAAGCCTCCCAAACTAGTAAAATCTGGCACATCAAGTTGAGGCTCCTCCCCCACCCTGCATCATGATTGAGCAAGAGCTGTGGACTCTTAAATTAATTTCGTCATTAGCCATACAGAAATCAGTTTAAGTCATCTCTTTGCTTCCTGGCATTTAATTTAGTCTCTGCAATACAGGAAGGTGAGAGATGTTAACATGAACCCACACTATTCCTTGTTTTGATGGCTTCCCCATACTATAAAATATTGCCAGGAATAGCTTCAGTAGATTGACCTTGTAATACAACTGAAGTTTGCATCTAAAATATGTTGATGATATTTGCTTTTGCCATAGCTAAACATATTTTAGTTAAAATAAACAGCAACAAAAATGGAAACCTTCATTATATACTTTCTATGCCTCAGACACTGTTCTGAAAATTCCTTATACTTTATGCACCAGTTCTCCAGTTTATCCTATGATGCTGGTACTGTGATTTGCAACAATTAGAGGAAGAAGAACTGCAGAAATCGGGAGCTTAAGCAACTTACCTATGATACTTGAGATTAAGTCCTGTTGTGATCTCTGTCGTTCCCCATTTGTTGTTGCAGTTAAATAGGAATGAAAATACAGTGAGATAGCACTACATCCTCAGCGTGTGGACACATTATCCACTGGTAGTTAGAGTGTAGAACAACTCCCTTATATAGATTTGTTTGTAGGAGCTCAATATCACCACTACTGTGGAGAACTGTCTGACTCTTTGTTACAAACATATATCCAGGTGCTTATTCAAAAAACAATAAAATATATTCTCCTGTAAATAATTTTGAATGTTCCTAATAGCAGGGCACACACACACACACACACACACACACACACACACACACACTCCAAACTAATATGCCAAATATGCTTTAATTGATGAATGTACAACTAAGCTGAGATATAAACATACAGTAGAATATTCTTTAGCAACATGTAACCATATAGAGAGATATCAACTGAAAGACCTTGCGACTAATTTTTTCTCTTTTCTTAACTACTTTCTTACCACTTTGTTCCTCTCCCAGCTCATAGCTAGCGACTGACAAAAACCATATACTTAATGTGCACAATTTGATATTTCTAAATATGTGTCATTGTGAAATAATTGCCATAAAGCTAGTTAACATGCCCATCATCTCACATGGATTCCATTATTTTTATTTTTCTGTTCATAACACTTAAATTTGCTAACGTTTAGCAAATTTCAAGTATATGACACAGTACAAAGTTAGCCATAGTTACTTTACTGTACTGAAACTCATCTGCCATGATTGAAACTTTGTACCCTGTAAGCAATAACTTTTCATCGTAATCCTGCAGCTCAGCCCCAGATCTCAGCAACCACCATTGGGTAGTACTGGGCAATATGAATTTAACCACTTGGGTATCTTATATAAGTAAGATTATGAAATATTTGTCTTTATGTGCCTGGATTTGTGGGACTTAGCATAATTTCTCCATGGTGCTGGAAATGGTAAGACAT